GATGCTTTTGAGTTATGGTGTTGGAGGAGAATATTGAAAGTACCATGGGCTGCCAAAAGAACCAACGGATCTGTGTTGGAAGAAATGCAGCCAGAGTGCTCCTTGGCGGACAGGATGGCCAAACTTCGTCTCTCATACTTAGGACATATTGCCAGGAGGGACCAGTCACTGGAAATGGAGATCATGTTTGGTAAAGTGGAGGGTCAGCGAAAAAGAGGAAGACCCCCAGCGAGATGGACTGGCAAAATGGCAGCATCAATGGGCTCAAGTGTGGCAACAATTGTGAGGTTGGCCCAGGATCAGGCAGTGTTTCATTCTGTTGTGCATAGGGTCACTATGAGTCTACACCAACTTAATGGCACCTAACAATAACAACATAGTGCTGGAAGACGAGCCCCTCAGGTTGGAAGGCACTCAAAATACAACTAGGGAAGAGCTGCCTCCTCAAAGTAGAGTTGACCATGATGACGTGACTGGAGAAAAGCTTTCAGGATCTTCATTTGCTGATGGGTACAACACCAAATAAAGAGAACTGGCTGTAGACATCTATCACTAATTGGAACACAGAATGTAAGAAGTAAAAATCTAGGAAAATTGAAAGTTGTCAAAAATGAAACAATGCATAAAGATCGATGTCTCAGGCATTAGTAAACTGAAATGGACTGGTATTGGTCATTTTGAATCTGACAATTATATAGTTTAATATGCCAGGAACTAGAAATTCAAGAGGAATGGTGTAGCACTCATTGTCAAAAAGAACATTTCAAGTTCTTCCTTAAAGTACAATGGTAAAGTGTATTAATTTTGTTAAGTACTGTCGAGTGGGTTCCGACTCATATGGACTCTTTATAGGGTTTCCAAGGAGCAGCTAGTTGGTTTGAACCATTGACCTTGTAGTTCAAACTGACCTTGCAGTGCCACAAGAGGAAGACCCCTCACAACAAGATGAATTGATACAGTGGTTTCAAGAATGGGCTCCAACTTAACAATGATTGTGAGGATAACACAGAACTGGTCTGTGTTTTGTTCTGTTGTATACAGGGTCTCTGTGAGTTGGAACTAACTCAATAGCACCTAATGACAAGTGTTGACCATTTTCAAAGACACTGTGTGATAAATGCAAAACTAATAGAAAAGTATTCTTGCACATGAAATTCCCAGGTCCAATGGTGAAATAGTATCCTGGTCATGTTCTGGGAATCCTTTCCTGACAGAATCACACCTACTGGAAATCTCTTCATAGTGTCTTGTTCCCATTTCACCAATCCCCGCAACTCTTCCAGACAGAGTCAATAAACCATTTAGCGGATTCAAAAGGAACATATACAAATGAAACACATCAGTGGTCTTAGTATAGTGACCTGCCTCACTACCAATTTTCTAGAAAACAAAAATTTCTGTAGATACGAAAGTAAGACGTGGTGCTCACAAAACAACTAATTTTGGTTTTACTTGTACTTTATAATATGGCGATCATAATTGAGGATGAAAGTCCCATCATTCCGAGGGAACATTGTATAGAAAATCACAGAAGTCTTTTATTCCCTTAGTAGCATTTAGAGTACTTTTTAAAGTAGGATCAGCACTTGACTAAGAATCACAAGGTCAGCAGTTCAAACCTACCAACTACTCCTAGGAAACACTACACAGGGTTGCTATGAGTCAGAACTGACCCCAAGGCACTTAATAACAACAATAACAAATACGTTTTCACTGAAAACAAACCAACAAACAACCATATCATTACCAATACCATAAAGAGAAGTTTACTCAGTATGAAGAGGAGACCCTGAAAGTTTAAAAAATGCGCACCTCACACCACACACAGCACCCTAACTCCCATTTCCCATGCACAAATCCTGCTGCTGGGGGCCGCCAAGTTGGGGCTGATTCACAGCGACCTGGCCTTCTGAGTGGAACTGTTGAGAGGATCAAAAATCCTTGTCTTTCTCCTGAGGAACAGCTGGGGGCTCTGTGGTTAGTAGCCCAATGTGTAACCCACTATGCTCCATGAGAAACGTTGTTGTGAGGTGCTGTTGAATCGGTTCCGACTCACAGCCACCCTGTAGAGGAGCAGCTGGAGAGTCTGAACCGCTGACCTTGCCGTCCCACATTCATCCTACCGCGACACCACGACTCCCCAGGAGAATCAGCAGTCTAACAATAGTTTTACCACCCCCTGAGTTAGACTGCACCCTATTATTTACCCAAAACATCCATTGGGGCTACTTAGAAAAGGTCAGGCTTCCTTTTAAAGCATCCTAAACAAGTATTACTTAAGATTTCATGAAAAAAAAAGCCAAGCAGTACATATTGCCATCGTATTTTCTACACATTTTCCAAATAGGTCAGCCTAGTTTTCCCTGTTTCAATGGCCTCGTCAGTTCTCATTTGTCCCTGGTCTCTCTGCGCTCACCTGTGAGATACGGCCCCCCAGGCTCCATGCTTGTTGGTTAGAATGTTTAGGATTTTCTGCTTCAGCTGGTTGGCGGTGACGTGATCGCGATGCTTGGCAGCACTGATGAGGTGATCACACATCTTCTCTTCCTCTCGTCTGTCGGCAGCGTACTGGGCGCACTGCGACTGCAGAGACACAAAGGTGGCACCAGGATGAACCTTTCCACTGTCTCACGTTCGAGACGAGGTCTGACTTGACGCCAGAGGACAATAGTAACTTAATTTCAAAACTAAGAACTGTCATCTTTTTACAGTTTGTTCTAAAGGTGCATACAGTTGTTAACCTTTCAAAGTGGCAAAAATAATGTTTTGTACAATCTGTTTGTATGTAAAGTGTGGGTAAGAGGATTTGTATAATATTAAACAAACAGAAAATCACTGGTTGAGTTAGTCTTATACAGCTCATGCCTGGCAAAGTGCGCAGAAGGAAAACTCACTGATTCCGAGATTCAGGCCTGGGTTTTGTGAAAACTTTAGACACACTCATTCTCATCATTTTATTCAAGGTCATATTTATAAAACAAGGAGTTGAGACAAACCCTTCGCTCTTTCCCTCCCAACCCTTGCATCAAACGTCTGCAAAGACTCTCCCAGTGAATCCTCCTGGTTCTGATCTTTTCTTCCCACCGTAATCTGCTGCCTCAGCAGTCGTGTGCTCAAACTCATTGGTATCAGCTGCAGAGCTGATCACTGGACCCCTTTGTGTAACAAAAGATTCAGTATGAACATCATTAGCGATGTCTCATTTTTTATATCATCATTTTTGTAAACGGGGCCTTGACTGTAAACGTTAACATCACAGAGTATGTACCAAGAATGACAGAGCTGGGAGAAACTACAACTCATCCATCTGTGAAGGCCCTGAAGGAGCCGGCATTCATCAGTGCTGAGAAAAATCCCAGTTTATTGACGGTATCTGATCCTGTCCTTTACGTCCATCTACCCTACAGGTCAGCTCCTGCCGAGGCCTAGTCCTACAGTCCTCCTCTAAGGAGGATTAATTCATTCTCCAATTTATCTTCTGGTACAGGGAATCACCAATTAGTACAATGGTCTGCCTCAGTAATGAGGTTAATATTTCATTAGCTCATTGGAGAGTGAAATTAAAGTTTCATTTTTCTTCCTTAACAATTACAGTGGCTAACGAGAGGGACTTAACTGTGCAGTGCCCATCTCTACCTAACTTCTCCTTGTTACAGGCTCATACGAGAGACAGGGAAATTCCTCAGAAATTTCTAGTAAAAGTCATCACTTCTGTCAAACGCTAAGTGTGGGAGGCTACACCCACAAATGAGGGGATCTCAGATGTTTGTGGATATGGAATTCCAAGACATTGGAATTTTTCCACAAACTTTTGGGAGCCCCATGATGTATCGATGCATTTCCTGGCAGAGCTCTAGCTAAGGATGACCAAGTTTAGTATTTGGAAAATCCACTGTATGCCCAACGGCCCCAACCAAACGCCACCTCTGTTTGTCTGTCTTGTTGTGAAGTGCCGTCCAATCGGTTCTGACTTAGAGTCACCCTGTACAGGGTTTCCCAGGAGCGCCTGGCGGGTTTGAACTTCCGACCTGGCAGTTAGCAGCCCAGTGCTTACCCTGCAGCGTCACCAGAACCCCACCACCTGTGTCAGCATGCGTGAAAGCTTGTCACTAATGACTAGCTGGTCAGAAATCTGCTTAAAGTGCTTCCCTGCTTACTTCCACAAAGCATTCGGACTGACTGACTGTTAGTCAGATGGACCCAAGACTGACCAGCAGGGACTTGGTTAATGTTCTCACCAGAAGGGACCAGCAGAGGGGAAAGGTAAACGAATATACCAAGTTGGCTTAGAGTTCTGAGATGTCTCAGGGCAGAGCGTAGCCTCCTGAGAACAGTTCTCTCAGTGTTTCCTTTTTGCCCTGAGACATACCTAATGCCATTGATTGTTGACAGGAGATACAAAACTTCACTTCACGATTTCACTGTAAATGTACTTTTATTAAAGTTCAAAATAAGGTCGCCACTATTCCATTTGACAAGTGTCTATATAGTCTCACCTCGCAAAAGGAAGTAGTCCAGGCATGGCGTGGTGGGTAATGCACTGGACCTTAAGGCTGGTTTGAACTGCAAGGTTGGCGGTTCAAATCCTCCAGTTACTCCTCAGAAAATGTATGCAGGGTCGCTATGAGTCAAAACTGATTTGATGGCACTTAACAACAACATGTGCGTTTGAAACAAAACCAGATGGCTGTGTCTCACACTTCTTGGCCAGCCAGACGTACTGTAACTGTACTGACTATACCTAGACACACTGTATCAGTGGGACCATTCAGAGAGCTGGTTTATGAAGATAAAGGCCTCATCAAAACTGACGCTGCGGCACCCATTCCCAGGGTGTGTAGGGGAAGCACTGGTGGGGGGAGGTAGGGTGGTTTACACAGCCACGGAGGGCTCGGTCTAAGAGAAACTTCAGACCACCTTGGTATTTCAGAAACTCATCTGATTAGCACATTGGGATGAATTGAGATACCATGTAAATGCTATACTTAAAGTATGGATTTGTTGTGTTGAGGAGACACAGGTAACAGCAAATAGTTATTAAAATGTTCAACATTTTAATAAGAATGTTTAAAATAAAAAAATTAATAGACAATAACACAGTACTTTAATTTTTCAGAGAACATGTCATAGAAACGAGAGATATTTGTTGTTGCTATGTGCCATCAGTCGGTTCCAACTCAGAGTGACCCTGTATAGGGTCTCCTCCGTGTGTGTGTATAGGGGTCTGGTGTGGCACTGTAGGATAAGCACTGTGGGTGGTGCAAACGTCCCAGCCACTCCTCAGAAGCCCTGTGCACACAGGGTTGCTTTGAGTCGCACTGACTCGATGGCACCAACAGACCAAGCTCATAGATATGAGGGGGCTTCGAGAGCTTTTGGAAGCCCCTTCATATGTAATATCTCAAATCTCTGCTAGCTCATCATCTCTGCAAGGGGGCTTCTAAAAGTTCATGGCAAACAGAATGAGAAGAACAACGGCATTTCCCCACGAACTTTCTGATGCCCCTTTGTATATTTGGTGGTGGAGGTGGTGTGCCGTGGAGTCCGGTCCGACACACAGCAGCCCTGGACAGGGTTTCTGAGGCTGTAAATCTTTACAGGGACAGAACGCCTCAGCTGTCTCCCGCGGAGTGACTGGTAGACTCGAGCTGCTGACCTTGCCGTTAGCAGCCCACCAGTCTGCTACCAGAGCCTCCTCGACACATGCCTGCACTGTAACTGGTAGTCTGCTCATAACTGAAGCTTTTGATTAGCGAGACGATGGCAATGCTTCAACTTGGACAAAAAAAATAAAGCACAAGCTAAGTTTACCTTCTGAAATCCCACCGACGTACACAGCTCTGTAGGAAAAAGGACTGAATGTTTCAGCACAGTCTTTCCAGCTAGGGGCTTCTCAGACCCCCAATTGCCCAGGGCCGGCTTGGGGAAGTCATTCTAAGTAACCGCAGCATCACGTGGCTGCCTTGAAGGCTCCAGTACATCAGGAAAGGAGTCCTGGCCTGGCCCTGGAGGATCAGCACTGGACTGCAAACCACAAGGTCCATGGTTCAAATTCACCAGGCGCTCCTCAGAAACCCTACACAGGGTCGCTACAAGTCAGAGCCGACTAGACGCCACTTCACAACAAGAATTCAGGAAAACCATCCAGGTGACTAAGGACAGCAGGGAGGGGTTTTCTTCTCATAGTAAATGAGGTGAACATGAACCGTCCTCCGTGTGGCATTTCACCAATGGGAGCGGACATGCCTTCGCTGAAGCTGTCCTCATTTTAACAGAAACACAGAAAGGAGCCCAGTGCCCAGACCTCACCTCGAACTCCGCATGCTTGTGCACATCCTCAGCTCGCTGTCTGTTCAAAATAAACTCGGCTTCGTTGGCAACGCGCACAATGTGATCCTTCATAGCGTGACACAGTAACCTAGAGAGAGAGCACCGGCCGTTAGTCCCACACTTTGGACTCCAAACACCCTATGTAGGGTTTCTCAGGAGCGGCTGGTGGGCTTGAACGCCAATTTTTCAGTTAGCAGTCCAGTGCTTATCCTACAGAGCCACACCAGGGCTCCTTACAAATAGTGTTGTTGTTGCTAAGTGCGGTCAAGTCAGGTCTGAGACATAGCAACCTGTATAGGATAGGGTTTCCAAGGAGCAGCTGGTGGATTTGAACCACCAACCTTGTGCTTAGACTACAAAATCAGTGAACATATTTTTAACTAGTTGCTGTTGACTCCATTTTAACTGCTCCAGAGTTTTTTCTAGGCTTGTGGCCTTTCAGACACAGATCTGCCTCTGGAGGAGCCTCTGGGTGGCTTCGAACCGACAACCCTTCTGCTAGTACTCAGGCACCAACTTATAACTTGAAGAGATTTGAAATACTGAACTAGGCCAGGATAAGAACTGGTCACACTGTCCTATGCTGTACCATTTGTTACTTCCATTAGCAGTCAGTGGACTTGTTTCCTGAATTTCAAAATCAGATCATATAAAGTGGTACGATATAAATAAAATGATGGAAGATGAAATGAAAAGAGTCAGTTCAAATTATATTCAGATGATTATATTCAAATTAAGCCCCAGGAACAGTGCACAATGAAGTAATGGGTTAGTTTTATGTTTAGTAAGTTCACATCTCTTCGGAGTGAGCAGCAGGTTGGACATCTTCACGCACATCCTTGGACGGGGCCACTTCATGAGAAGCCAGAGACATCTTTATTGTTTGAACTGACTAGTTCACAGCGTGAAGGTTTACAGAGCAGAGAATCAGTTTTCCCTTCACCAATCCACACACATTTTGTTTCACGTCACTGGCTGCAATCCACTCAATGTGACATCACTCATCCCACTTCCTCGTGTGTTTCCCCTTTCCATTCCTCCTCCTTTCCTGACCCATCTGAACTCGGGCCTCGGGTCAGTGCTCTCCTATCATCAGTTTCACACGATCAACTGTCCTCACTTGTGTGAACCTCTCCAGTGTTACTGCTCCCCTCCCAGACCTGTCTATTGCGAGTATGAAAAGTAAACCACACCGGGTGCGTTTTATACCGGGCCTGAGGAGCGACAAAAGATGCAGTCTCGGGGGTTCCTCCCATGTGCCTGACCAGTAAGCTTGGTCGATTTTTTGATTTTGAGTTTGGTTGTACATTTTTTCTCCCATCCTATCCAGAACTTTCTAATGTGACTCCTTTGACGCTTTTGAGGATGAGCCTTCAATTTTTAGACCGTGACCGTATAAAGTCTGTTGTTGAATGTGGAACGAGTGCTCTCTGCAGTGTCTCAATCTGTTCCGCGCCTGTTCTTCTGACACACTCTGCAGTTGCTCATGAATTCCAATGTCACTTTTGGTTCTCTGCCCTCCCTCCTGATTACTGTCTGTCTCTTTAGAAGGCTCTGTCCTTGGTGAGATCTCAGTGCTAATTTCTGATGTTTTGGTTCACTGTAGATCCAGCCGTCACCCCCGGAGAGCTCTCTAACTCCCCTCTCCCCACACATGGCCACGTGCATTTATAAGCACCTACTACTGTACCTGTCACCTAGATACAGGACCCAGCCCTCACATTCAGCCTTTAAGAACACAATAGTTTTTCTCTCAGAATTGATTCCTCCAAAAGGAGGCCTGGTGGTGCTGTGTGTCAGACGTTGGGCTGCTAACCGCCAGGTCGGAGGTTCAAAGCCACCTGGCTACTCAATGGGAGAAAGATGAGGCTGCCTGAGCCCTCAAAGATTTACAGTTTGAGAAACCCTAAGGGGCAGTTCTATAGTGCCCTATGTTGTTGGTAAGTGTCATCGAGTTGGTTCAGACTCATGCGAGTCTGCATAGGGTTTCCAAGGAGTGGCTAGTGGTCTTGAACCGCCAACCTTATGGTTATACTGGACTACTGTTACTAGGCTTCGAGTTCATACATGCATGGGCTTATTCCAAACAAACCATGCTCAGAAGTCTCTGCCATCAGTGGAGGGTTGCAGAGAAGCTCGCAAGTTTGCTCAGGAGCACACTTGTCTCATTATTGGCTTCCAAAATAAACGGTCCAATCGGAACAGTGGCTTCTGAGGGGATCTGCTGGGTCAGGTTCAGTTCAAGCCAGAGAGGTCAGATTAGAAGGTCATGGCAGCTGTTTTTTATTAATCCCAAAGGGGTCATCTTTTTCAAAGGAAACAAAACTAGGGTTTACTACATAAGAATGTAAAGAAAACTGAAAACTATACAAGTGAGAAAAAGTCCAAGAAAGTTGTGAGTTCCCCAAACTCTCATTTCAGAGGAACACAGTCTGAGTCTCTCGAGGATGCTAACTCTGCTGTTTTGACTTGGTGTAAATTGTAGAGCCCAGAGGACTCTGGGAAAGAGTCAGAGAGATGGAAACACTGCCTTCAGAAGTGTGGCGACCCAGATGGAAGATGCCTCAAGAAAACACAGCGCCACATTTTGATAGTTTTACTTAGTAAAAGATTGTTGGATTTTATCGTACAGTTATTTGTCCAGCTCTGCTCATTGTGATAGCAATTTCGCGCATGTTGTCCTCTTTTCTACCTCCACTGCCCTCAGAAAAGATAGGACAGGTAGGAACAATGGTCCAGACGTCCAGTATTCCTGTCCTTTCTACACGTGGCTACTTGACAAAGTGAAGCCACAGGTGCACGCTTCCCCTTCTCAGAAACCGGCAACTCTTCCCTGGCTGATAAGCTAACTCCTGAGTGTGGAATGTGGACCAGCTAGCGTGTGGCTCTAATAGACTTTGTCACCTCCGTCACCCACACTTCTTTCTATGCAGCTTTGGTTCCAAACTGGCCTTTTCTTTGTCACTCACTTTCTGGTCTTAATCCATTTAGTGCTCAGTCATCTGGGAGGGACAACCCTCAGGGCAGAGCCCTTCCTCGTGCCTACCTACACTGCGCATTTCGTATTTACGTCCCGAGGTCTACCACGTGAAAATGACGACACTCATGAGGAAAACGCTGCTCATCATCACAACCGGGGTCTGTCGGCGCTGTGTCCACAGCTGGGCAGCACCTAGCTGATTTACATTTCATGCCGGATTCCCACAGGACTCTCAGTGGGCAGACCATGACCTTCATGTTTAAACGCAGGAAACCAGAGCTCAACACTTGCCCCAGATCATTGTTTTAAAAAAATTGGCATACTTTTTCATAATGTATCTTTATCAACTCATAAATATCTTAAAAAGCAAAAGCTTTATTTACATTTGTTTACTTCTGTCACTGTCCTCGGTAGGGAGTTTCAACATGAATTCTTTAATTACTTTCATTGTCCATTAAAATCAAAGATTACGTGCTTTCACATCTTCTTACAGATTTTCTTTCGCAATAAACAATTACTCAAAGGATATTTTAAAAGCTAACTTCAAATCCTTCAGCGCTTTCCTTAAAAGTCAAGTTTACAAAGTAGTTCCCATTCCTTTATTCATGATTTTTCCAATTCAGTTAGAATACATCCATCCACTGTCCATTGGTCATTTCTGTATGTTAATCGTGTCTTATTATCCATACAGGATTAGACACCTCGTTGGTAAGCTGCGTCAGTTAATGGTTTAATATTGAGAAGATACTAAGACCGCCTACAACCATTGCAACAAAAAGACACACAACTCAAAAAGGACTTGAACAGATATTTCTCCACAGAAGACACACAACTGACCCCAAAGCACATGAGAAGATGTTCAACCTCAGTTAGCTAGCCCCCAAAACCAAACCAAACCCACTGTCACTGAGTCAGTTCCTACTCATAGCGACCCCATAGGACAAAATAGACTAGACTGCTCTTTAGAATTCTGTGGCTCTGAGTTTTTACGGAAGCAAACAGCCTCATGTTTCTCTTGCTGAGCGCCTGGTGGGCTTGAACCACCAACATTCTGGTTCAGCGCTAAGGCTCCAGTAGTTGTGTGCCATCGAGTTGGTTCGACTCAGAGTGGTTTCTGAGAGCAGTTGTTGGGTTTGAACTGCCGACCTTGCGGTCCTATAGCGCCACCCCAGGCCTGTAAATCTAACCAAGGTAAAGGATCACTTCACATCCACGCAGATACTTGGTATCACAGAAATGGAAAATAAATGTCAGTGAGGGTGTGGAAAAGTTAGAATCCTCATCCACTGCTGGAGTGAATGTAAAATAGTGCAGCCATCGTGAGAATCAGTGTGTCTAAACTGAACACAGGACAACCAAACAACCCAGAGTCCACTCCTGGATACAGACCCAATAGACTTGAAAGAGGGACCTCAACAGAGACTGTTCTCCCATGTCCACTGAAGCACTATCCACAACAGACAAAAGGTGGAGACAACTCAAGTGCCCATCACCAGAGGAATTCTACAAGCAGTAGGTACACGGAGTCACACTGCACTTCATGAGCCATAAAATAGCACGTCCTGACATGGGTGGCCAGAAGGAACCTGAAACCACAATGCCATATAAATGATCTACAACAGACAGCACTTACTCGTGGTCACCAGTGGTTGGGAGGAGGGGAGGTTAATGCATAAGGGACATGGAGAGTCTGTTGGGTGATGAAACACTTTCAAAACTAGTGGTGAAGGTTGCACAACATGACAAATATAATTGTAGTTGGTAAGTGCCATCGAGTCGGTTCCGACTCAGAGCGACCTTGTAATGAGGTTTCTGAGGAGCAGCTGGTGAATTTGAACCACCGATCTTGCGGTCTAGTGCATTATCCCACAGCGCCATACCAGGACTCCAAATATAATTAATGTCACTGAATTGGACACTGAGAAATGGTTAAAATGAAAATTTCCTTATACTTTACTATAAAAGTAAAGAAGAAAACCAAGCACTATTAACAAGGTGCTACAGGATAGGCACTCGAGCTCAAGGTCGGTTTGAATTGCAAGGTCGCAGGTTCAAACTTACCAACTGCTCCTTGGAAACCCTATAGAGGGTTGCTATGAGTTCGAACC